AAAAAAAAAAAAAAAAAAAAAAAAAAAAAAAGTCATCAACAAATCTGAAAAAAAGATATGTTATGGAGAAGAATAAATTAAACAAGATTTGTTTGAGCACTACATCCGAATTCCTTACCAAATTTGAAATACAAATAAGTCCGGAGAATAAATACTAATAACAAAAATAAATAAAAACAAAAAGAGAATTAAACTTAGTGAGTGTGCGAGCACGTTTTTGACACCACCATCTTTGACGATTTTTCATTTTTTTTTTGGCATAGCTAAACGCCCTGAAAATTTAAGATGTATACTTCACATAATGCAAAAGCAATTAAAAAAGTTTCAAAAAATAATAAAATCGTTTAGACCCCGAACTAGAGTGAAAACAAAAAGTAAAAAGTGAAACAAAATGTGGGCGAGCACATTTTGACACTGCCATCTTTGGCGATTTTTCATTCTTATTTGGCTAAACCAAATCACTTGAAAATTCATAGGCATGTACCTCACGCCATACAGAACTCACAAAAAAACATTCAGAAAAAAATATATATTTTGAGGTCCCCAAATAATTTTTGGCGGGGGCCGAACGTCATCGGGTTCGAACCCTATACGGGACCCCGAACGCCCGTACGTACAGAGGTCTGCCCGGGGACCTCCGTACGTACGGGCTGGTGACCCTGTATATATATATATATATAGGGAAGTTATTTTGTGACGATATATATATATATATATATATTATATATATGTAGATGTAGAAGTATATATATGTATATATATATGGATATGTGTGTGTGTGTTCTCCTTGTAGGGGTATACAGCTAGTCAAAAAAAAAAAAAAAAAAAAAAAAGAGGAGGTAGTAAAGCGGTAAGGTTAGGCTGATCCTTTTTTTGAAATTTTCACTTCTTTCTCCCATTGTCTCTGTATAAACATGCTTGCCGGGGATAAGTAACTGGACTATTGCCCCCCAGAATAGCCCCGTGTTAGTTAAAAAAAAAAAAAAAAGGAAAGCTCTGACTTCTTGCTTGGGCCTTGGGACATTCAAGGCACTGAGTTTCATTTTGTAAGAATTTAAAGTTCACCATTGAAAAAAAAAAAAAAAAAAAAAAAAAAGGTTGACCTCTGTCCTTTGAAAACGAGTGTTTTGTCTTGCGAGTGCTCCTCGGTGCACTCGAGATTAATGTGCAAATCGCTCCAGTAATCTGCACTCACTACGATCTCACTCCGAGCTCAGCCAGCACCCGAATGTCCAATGCGGAGACAGACCCTTTGCTATATGGAAGTGGCCTGCCTGCCTTCTGTCCCAGGCTGCGTTGGGCCTTTCATTACATTGATGAATCTGAAACACTTGGAAATGGCTTGCCTGCCTTCTGTCCCAGATTCATCAATGTAATCAAGAGCACGCTCTACCGCAACAAATACAGATGCCAATCATTGAATTCCAAGTGTTTCAGATTCATCAATGTAATCAAGAGCGCGCTCTACTGCAGCAGATACAGATGCCAATCATTCACTTAGGGAGGCCACAGACGCAGTAGAGCGTCCAATCTGTGTCCCTGGGGTCCGCTACGACCTCCAAGTCTTACTGACGACTTACCTGAGGTGTCTGCCGATGTCAATCAAGAATCAGTTGGCAGTTGAGGCTAACATCAATGTGCACAACTTTCCATCGTTCAGCAAGAAGTCCCTAGACCTTGAAGCTAAGATAGGGCATGAACACAACCCATCGACGGACGGTAGGAAAAAGACACCGCCTCCCAACTGGAAGGTGAAGGGGCGCATCATGTTCGTCGACAATGATGGTTCAACCATCGAGTTGGACGACGACCCCCAGTTGGGAGTTGGTTCAAAGGCAGGCAGCGTAGAGGCTTCAGAGGGTGGAGTAGTCGTTGCCGTAACCCAACAAAAAGGTAAGGGGACTGGTAGAGGCCGAGGAGGCTCCCGGTCCAGGAGTCAAGTCGACCCCAATGCTCCTCCAAGGGAGAAAGCGGGTCTCACAGAGGACGTGTGGAGAGACCGGTACACCCGGCAAGCTTGTATTCGTTGTGGTCAATATGACCATAACCAATTCAAGTGCCGCAACGAGAAGGTTACCGAGAAGATCCCGCCTACTATGGGGCAGGTCGCAGGATCCTCCGCTTCCGTTGGTAGCAAGGTTGCCAGCATTTCAGGCACTGCTCTGGGAAACACGTCGGGCCAGTAGGAATAGTAGTTGTTCCTGCTAGGGTCGAGGCGGTGGATACACCCTCACCATCTTGAGAGATGGCCCAAGCTACTGACTCCATCGTCATCCCACAAACACGTTCAGACCAATCGAGCCTCTGTTCGATAAATGTGTTTGGGTCCTTAGAGGAGCTAGAGAAGGAGCGGTCTAGATCAAATCCGCTAGCTTCTTGGACGACATTAGTCAAAGTCCCTAAGGGTGAGATGTTTGTCAGCGAGGTGGTCATTGGCGGCCGCAAGGCCGGGGCCTAT